CAACGATCCCGTAACAGCCCTTTGTTAAGATTAAAGAGAACAGAGCTATCCATTTCCGAGTGAATCCAATTTTTTAGACAAAATTTTAATGAAAAAGGTAGCAACAACTATAATTACAAAACGCAATAACTGTGCAATTTAGCATAAACACCATATCGAGCCCTAACCGCCAAAATAACGTAAGCGATATTTTTTTCAAAATTTTCTTTTTGATGCAGAAATGCATCTAGGTGCTCAAGGAATATTTCTGCGTCATAAAGAAAATTTTGAAAAAAATATCGCTTACGTTATTTTGGCGGTTAGGGCTCGATATATACACACACCAAATATAATAATAATAGATATATACAAACACCAAACACCATACACCACACAAACGACCTACGCAAGTCCGATATTGCGCAATGTTTTAGTGTGGTTTAGGGGCCCTATAACAGCAGCGTGTGCAAATAAATTCCGGATTTTATTTCCCTTATAAGAGCTACCAAATCAAACTTATAAATATCTACACATACAATTTTAAAACTTTAAATATCAAGAAAAAATGATTTGCCTTTAAACTAGTAATATTATTCATAGTTTTCAAAAATTCATTTCTGCCAGCCAAAGTATCAAAATGGGGCATTTGTGAACAAAAAAGTATCAAAGTATCAAATATATTTAGAAAACAAATTATCAAAACAGGCAACGCTGGTTGCAACAGCGACGCAATTTAAAATTCAAAAGATAAAATCCTTTACTACTGTTAAGTGCAATAAGAGTTTTAATATTTTGAGTTTTGAATTGTATCGTTGTTATAATCATGATTTTGCACATTCGCAGTTTGTTGTCCTGAGGCGACGATTTGTACATTTTAACAGACACAGAGGGTTGTTGTTTGGAAATTTTTTATTGAGCTGAACTCGTTCTGGATAAAAATCTAGACTACTCTGTAATTGCCAAAATGTACAAATCTGTTCAAAAGTACAAATCGTGTGATCTCTGCTTAACTTGAGTAATGTCAAAGCCGCCACGACGGCGCTATCTTGTATTCTATCATTCATGGCAATGGCAGATCTCCTAATAATAAAGCGCAACATTTTTGTTTTTGTATGTGTGCCAGGGAAGCCAACTCGTGGGGAATGGATGGTTGTTTGTAGGGATGCTAACGATACATCGATGTATCGGCAAAAAAACATCGATGTTTTACTCGATGTTTTCAACGCTTAAATATCGATGCATCGATGTTATTTTTGTCGATGTTCTTAACATCGAAATGTTGGGAATTTATTTTTAACATTATAAAATTACAGATGAGCAAAGGCAAGTATTATTTTTAAGAGCTAATTTTCAAATCAAATATTTAAACTGTAGAACTTATAGACAAACAGAAATTAATTGAATTTATTGTCTGAAATGTACCTAGTTGTCAACTCCACGTTGACGGTGTTTTTGCCACTATGTCCAAGTGTTTCGGGAGGCGTAAAGTACAATAAAATTATTCTAACTACATTGTAGTAGATAATAAGCCGTTTGGAACAGTTGCCGGTGCTGGTTTCATTGTACAAAGTGCCAAGCAAAGACACGATTCGAGCAAGAGTGGATGAAAAGTATGAGGTCATGTCAAATTTATTTAAAAGTTACACTACGATGCATTTAAGAGTTGCATTGCAGCAGCAGTAAGATTTGCAGGTTTTGCATGATTTAGTCCGAAAAGCGTTCCAGAACACATTTTTCCTGTAATTAAGAGCACTTTCGTGCGAGTAAAACATGTTCACACTCAGTTAGAATTTGCAGGATTTATTAGTCCGATGTTTTTCTTCTGGCATTTCTTTCAAGCATTTGACATTTATACACTTGAATAAAAACTGTTGTTTTTTGCGTTCCAGCCAGTGCAAGGCTTCGAAAAAAATTGATATTAGATTTTACATTCAAAAAATGGTAGAAGTTGGCCGATTTTTTTTTAAAGAAACAATATTAGATAGTTTTTACTTATATAGGATAAATCAAATCAATAAAACATTCAACAAAAAACGTATGCATAAAACTGGGCCTGAATCACGGCATCCGCGATCGAATGAAACTCTATTCGAATCGAATGAAAAAAATTATATCTGTTTTCCGGTAAATACAATTTAATTTGAAAAAGCGAACCCCCTACCGAATGCCGTAACCTGAAAAAGAAATTAGGATGCGAATTTTATTCGATCACAGATGCCGTAATTCAGGCCCTATATTAGTTGAAAAAGAGACTCAAACAATTCCTCTACACTTCAAAATTTCATGACTAAAATTAGATTTGAAATACTTGAAGTTTGCAGACCATTCGTTCGGCAGTCTCCCACAAAAACGTATTGCAAAAGAAAAATATTTGTATAAACAGCTGATAGAGATGCAATTTCACATTCTTATTTCTTATGGTCAGAGTTAACTTTTCATGTTTTTAAGTGTGTTGGATGGCAAAATATGTATACACCGCGTCAATTTAAATCTCTTTGCTTTCTTCTAGAATAATATTGGTAGATTTTTATAATTTGTTGGTAAAAATGGTAAAATATAAAATAGCAGCAGTTTTTCTTGTGAGAGATATTTTGCTTTTTGACAGTTCTACAGGTTTTCGTAAAAAATCGCAGGAACGCACCTTATATTTAGTATTTTCTAGATTTCTTTCAAAATATCGAAAGCATCGATGTTTCTCGTCGATGTTTTCGACATCGATTTTTTTAATTTGATATATCGACATCGAAAGTATCGATGTTTTTTCTGTCGATATCGCAACCCTAGTTGTTTGTGGGGAATTTCAGTTTACGTGGGGAATCGGGCGATGAACTGTTTTTTTGTGAAGAATTAGGTGTTAAATAATGTTTTTCTTTTTGATTCACTAATTTCATAATGAGTTAAAAAAGTTTCATAAGAAGTGTAACTGCAACTAAAAGTACTGATTATGTAACACCGAGTTCTTAAATATTTAAGTCAGCAACGAAGAGGAACAATGGCAGCACTATTTACAAATTGTCATTTGACATTTCCATTTTTGCCGTTTTATTGAATTTTTTTATAATATTACACAAAATTTGTAACTTGGATTTATACGGTTTTTGTTAGAGAATGAACTATATTTTTATAAAAACTAACTCAGATTAAATAAAAAACAAAATGCTATTGTGACAACTTGTCAAAATTTGGTGCGACTAAAATTTTTTCGACTACTGTATGTAAATATATAAATATTATATGTACATTTTTTATTATTTATTTGTTGAAACACTTTATAATAGTGTGTTTTGATTTATAAATACATATGTAGATGAATTACATTTAAAATAAAATACAAAACACAGAAAGACCAGCAATATATCAAAATACCAAATCAATTCGGTTGGCGATACAAGCGTTGCTCAGGGCCGAAAACTATAGAAATACTAGTCTTGGTGGATTACACTGTATGACGATGGGTACTGTGGTGACACTCAGATGGAGTCGTGTTCAATTCAGTACACTGAGCTAGCGCCAAAAAAACTGCGCTATTACCCATGGCTAGGGAATTCTCAAAAATGAGTTGGCTACCCTGGTGTGTGCGTATGATTCGCTGCCACAAAACTCGGTATAGAATAACTGTATTCCCTGCTAGCGTCGCAACAGTTCGTTTGTTTGAAATGAACGTTGCAATGTAAAAAAAGAAAACTGTGTTTTAAAGAAAGGTGAATAAATGAACATATTTGTGCTCGTATGTAGGTATTTTATTATACATATACATATGTATGTATATTATGTATATATTTTTAAAGGCATACTTTTTGAAAAAGTGCGATCTAATAATGTATGTTAACGTATGTATGTAGAATGTAGAAATTTCAGTTTATGTCAGCTTACTCTTGCAGAATAAACGTGCATAATAGTGCCATCTATATACACGAGTGTTGTTTGTTTACGTTTTTTATTGAAAGCCGGTTCGTGTGTGTTATATGGTATTCTTAGTTTATTTTAGTTTTTATTTAAATACAAAGCGCTGCAATTCTACGTACATAGCTACCCAGTGGGAAAATGTAATCTATGGGAATGCAAAAAGTAATGTATAGCCTCTATAACCTACGCACGAAAAGATGCAAGAATTTTTCCACAGCGATGTCATACGAAAGTAATGTGTCGCATGTCGCTTTACGAAACTATAAATAGAATAAAAAAAAAATAAATAAAAATAAAAAATAAAGTCCGTGCCACAGGTTTTGAACCCGTGACCAACAACACGCCAGTCGAACTCACATCCATTCGACTACAACAGCTGTTAAGTCCACGTGAACAAAAAAAAATACTTGAGTTCGTTTTTAAACTTTTTTTTTTTTGTTTGTGGATTCAAATAGAGGGCTGAATGAATTCATTCAAACGGCTTGTGATTTATTCATTTACAAAACGAATGCATTTTTTTTAATTTGAGTAAATACATATATATATCAATATTCAAACAAAGTGAAAATAAATTGAATTGAAATAAATGAAAATTTTTTGTATGAATATCCAAAAATATTTTTTCTATGCACATATGTACAAACTAGGGATGTTTCGAATGTCATATTTTTCACATAAACGAATGTGAATCCGCATTCGAATTTTCGGAATGCGGATGTGCTGATGCGAATGTTAAGAACAACATTAAAAAGCTATAATCAACTTAAATCAACGTTTTTATTACATAAAAATTTTGTAAATTATTAGAACATTGAACGAGTGCTTAACCTATACAGTGTTTAAATCTAGTAAACAAAGTTCAAAAGGGGCATATTATATTTCAAAAAAGTAATTTTGCTGCTTTTTCTCCCATGAGGATTTTTATTTATCTCTTCTCTCGGGACGTTTATTTCAATACGAAAATTATTTACGACGAAAAGACATCTTAAAATAATCGTCCCGCGAGTCAGTACAATTATAAAGCAATATTTAATTTTATTTCTTATAATCGTTATGGTCTCTGAAAAAAATTTTTACCGAAATGGGTTTGAATGATGTGAATGTTTTCCATTTGAAGGCAGAAAATTTAAAACAAAATTTGTATTATTCACNTTTTTCTATGCACATATGTACAAACTAGGGATGTTTCGAATGTCATATTTTTCACATAAACGAATGTGAATCCGCATTCGAATTTTCGGAATGCGGATGTGCTGATGCGAATGTTAAGAACAACATTAAAAAGCTATAATCAACTTAAATCAACGTTTTTATTACATAAAAATTTTGTAAATTATTAGAACATTGAACGAGTGCTTAACCTATACAGTGTTTAAATCTAGTAAACAAAGTTCAAAAGGGGCATATTATATTTCAAAAAAGTAATTTTGCTGCTTTTTCTCCCATGAGGATTTTTATTTGTCTCTTCTCTCGGGACGTTTATTTCAATACGAAAATTATTTACGACGAAAAGACATCTTAAAATAATCGTCCCGCGAGTCAG